GTGATAATATTAATTAAATAAATTAAAACCCAACAAGGTTTATGTCATACTTACGTACGTACGTATGTGTATAAATAAGTTTTTTACAGGAAAATCATCAGAATATATTTCTGCTCAGCAATTCAACAAACTCAGCATCATAAAAAAAAAAAAAAAAAACAACCGGTATTATAAAATACATAATTAGAACACATGTCCATTCACAAAAAAAATCCACACCTTTCTTTTTCACCGACTTTGCAAACTCTTATTCCAGAAATTCTAGAATTTATATTAGTATTTCTTCCAGCCCCTTATGTTGTTTCTCCCGTGTGTCGACAATTTCATACAATTGTGTCAAAATCACCAAGTTTTAAACGACGTTGGCTTCGTATATGGCTTCATCCAAAACTTCCTGATGCTTTTTTACCTACTTATTCCGAACTTTGCAAAGCAGTTGAGACAAAGACTCCATTCAACATTCTAATGCAAATTATCGATTTACAAAAATTATGTAATAAGCCACTGGCTTCTTCGTTGGATGATAGCGTAACAAAATTGGTGGATGTATCTTTCCTACACAATGAAAGTGATCAATTAATTCCTTTTTTGATTTCTCGTGGGTTAAATATGAAAAAATATATTCAATATCATACTTCTAAAGATATCCAAAGAACAAAAGAAGGAATCCATGTGGAAAATAGATTACCAAAAGATTATTTATCTCCTTTAATTGTTGCTTCAAAGAAATCAAAAACTTTTTCCACTCAACTTGCTACTTCAAAGGACTTTTTTACTGGTACTGAGTTGGCCTTTGCAATTGTTCTTCATGAACGACTTGATGTTGCTTCATCTGTGGCTATTCATCAACAACATATTTTAGATATTCTGGAGGAAAGTGTAGATCGACAATACACTACAGGCATTGCTTGGGCTTTTCAACAAGGTGTTGGAACTGTTCAAAAAAATAATCCATTATATCTTCGTTTATGTATTGAAAAAGCAGATGTCGAATCCGCAAAGATTATAATTAATAATGGGGCTGCCATAAATATATCGCCATCAAATCATGCAAATGATCCTTCAATTTATGGTGCTACATCTCTTTTAGAATTTAGTATTCAATGTTACTTTCAAAATTATATTTATACACATACGTACGTACGTAAGTATGACATAAACCTTGTTGGGTTTTAATTTATTTAATTAATATTATCAC